GAGGAAGCAGGGATAAGCGAGGAGCGAGGAGGGGGAGGCCGAGGGAGAAGTCCGAGGACGGGCATCCGCCCTCTGCGCGAGCGGACGGTCGCCGTGCCGGAGGTCCGGCGCGCGTTCGAGCGGGCAGAGGTGGCGCGGTTCAACGGCGCGCCGGAGGGCGCCAGAAAGGGTATAGGGCAGAGGTCGTTTTCTGCGCATTCGCCACTTCTCGGCGGTTTTCGGGCGCGTTTGCCATTTTTCGGCGGCTCTCGAGCATCATGATGCGCACCAGCAGCTGCGCCTCGCCGACAGCGTACCCAGTGTGCCCGAATCTTCCCGGAAGGCTGCAGGAGAGCCGAGTTATGACCCGAAGCCTTCAGGGCGGGGGGGTCTGGTCCAGGGGGGGGTCAAACGCCCCTGGGACCCTGGCGTCGCAATTCGTTCGCAACGGGCGATATAATTATTTTCTGGCCGAGGGACCTTAACGTATCGATCCCTCTCAGAAGTGAGGTCCAGGGCTCCTGTCGTCGTTCTCTGCGGCGCTGTATTTTTTTTTCGTGACCTCGGATCTCCAGGGCGGGGGGTCGGGCCCTGCAGGCACCGGCATGGTCCCGGGCTGGCTCTTCAACAGCAGCCTGGAAGACCTCAGCTCGAGGGCGTCCAAGAGGGCGGCGAGGACGACACGGGGGGGAGGTCCGAGAGGGGGGACTGAAGACGTTCGGGTCTGCCTGGTGCTTTCGGGCGTTTCTGTGGGCACCCGCAGGTTCTCTCGCCCCGGGGCGCCTTGCAGCAGCTGCGCCTCGTCGAGAGCCTTCCAGTTGTGACCCCAAGACCAGACCCCAGCAGCCTCCCCCGTCGTGAGCGGCCGCCAGAGGCCCGAGTTGTGACCCCAAGACCATCAGTTGTCCAGGAAGGGGCAGTGGGGACTGGCGGTGTGTGGATGTCATGGCCAGGGTCACGATATTTCCCAGATGTCTTGGCCCCCTCTTCTTCTCTCAAGACATCCCCATGCAAGTCTAGTCGAGTCAAGTCAGGTCCGGTCGCGTGCAGAGGCTGCAAGCGCCCCACAGGCGGATACGTCGTCCGAAAAAACGAACAACAGTGTGCAGTAGTACACGCCCAGCTGATAACGAAGCTGCCGACAAGCTACCGCGAAGCCACGGGGCCGACGAGATGAGCTTCGAGAGTGGCCACGCCGAAGGCTCTCGAGGCACGTCCGTCCCTTGGCCCCCCCCCTTTCCTCTTCCGTGCACCTGCCCCGGGCCGTGACGCGCCCCGCTGAGATCCGACGTCGCGCACGAAAAAAGCAGCGCCGTCGGAAGCCTCGATCGGAGCCCTGGGCCCTATCTCTCTGCGGCATTCTCCGAGCTGGATCGGGTCGTGCGGGTCCGAAGGCCCAAATCAAGGCAAAACCGGCCGTTGTGGCAGCACTGCGACGCCAGGATCTCAGGGTTTTTTCCTTGCACATGCCTCCGGCCATGATGCGCCCCGCCCCCCCCCCGGAGGGTTTCTCCGAAGGGCTTAGGCGACCCGTCCTCCTCCCCTCCTCCTCCTCCTCCTCCTCCTCCTCCTCCTCCTCCTCCATCTCCTCCTCCTCCTCCTCCTCCATCTCCTCCTCCTCCTCCTCCTCCTCCTCCATCTCCTCCTCTCCTCCTCCCCTCCATCCCCTCCTCCTCCTCCTCCTCCTCCTCCTCCTCCTCCTCCTCCTCCTCCTCCTCGGGCCGACTACGGCCCCGGGGGGAGACCGTGCACCCCCCCCCCCGCCCTTTTCGGCGCACCCGACCAGCAGCTGGGAGGCGGGCAGCGGGGCCGCCGACCAGGCCTCCGTCTTCGAGGGCCTGGGCCTCCAATCTCGGAGGAGGGCCTGCCGAGGCCCGGGAGGGGCAGATCGGCGCAGGCGCAATAGGCAGCCGATCCACATGGAGGTACGGGACGGCGCGGGACCACGGAGGGGAGGAGGAAAACTCCAGGAGAGACGCAAGCAGACGTGGGAGACGTTAGAACCTGTGCCGATTTCCGTGCGTCCCCCTGGAGACCCCCCTTCGGCAGCCAGCCCAGGCGGGGGGAAGTGGGAAGGAGAAGGCCTTCTCAGAAGGCTTGGCAGCCCTCCTGCTTTCAGAGAAGTTGTCTGAGCCTTCCCCGAAGGCACAGAAAACTCATCGGAAGGCACGAGGGCTCGAGAAGCCCCGCCGCCTTCTGAGAGGGCCTGCTCCTCCTCAGTTACACACTCTGAATACTACTCTCCTCTCTCCCTTGATGACGTCCGGAAGATGTTCGGCCCACCTCCGCGTATTGTTGTTTTTTACACATGACTCCCAGGAGCTGGGTTTTCGCTTGGGTTTGTTGTTCGAAATGTTGCTCCCGCTGAAGCGCCGGCCTCATTTTCGGGCTTCGACTCGTTCCGAATCGTGCTCCCGCTGCAGCGCTGGCATCATTTCCGCGCCTCCACTCGTTCCGCATCGTGCTCCCTCTGCAGCGTTGGCCTCATTTCCTGGTTTTCATACGTGTTTTTGACTCCGATTCTGAGCCTAGGGAGGTAAACATGGAGCCGCTCCAGAACGGCCCAGACCTTTCGAAGACGATCCACTTACCCTCCAAGGCACGCGGCGCCCTTGCATGACATGCTGTGCTGTGTTCTGTCATGCGCCGTTGTGCGATGCCATGCTTTGCGTTGCAATGCTTTGTGCTGCAATGCTTCACTACGCAATGCCACGCCATGCTATGATATTCTACGCTATGCTGTGCTCTTCAACGCCATGCCATACCGTGCTCTACGATGCATGGCGCACCCTCTCGCGATCATTGCCCTGCTCGACATCCGACTGTGCGCATAGAGAGGATATCTACGCCATGTGAAGGGATGGGGAGGGGGGGGGTAGGACGTCAGATATGACGCGAGCGCACCTAGCTTGCCACTTCCCCCCTCGCCTCGCCGCCGAGCTGGGGAATCCTGGGGGCATCCTTGGCCTGGGGGGGGGGAAGGCACGTCTGGCAGCGCGCCCGAGGTACCCAAAGTGGGCTTCTCGCCGCGCCCTCGGCTGGGCATCCGCCTCACCGATTCGGGCCAGGATGCGCCCCGAGCGTTGTTTTTGTTGTTTTTTTGGGGGGGGGGGCCCTCTCCTCCTCCTCCTCCCTCCTCCTCCTCCTCCGCCTCCTCCTCCTCCTCCTCCTTGGGGGGGGGCCCTCTCCTCCTCTTCCTCCTCCTCCTTCTCCTCCTTGGGGGGGGGGCCCTCTCCTTCTCGCTTCCCCCCCCCCCGCGCTCGCCGCCCAGGGTGTCCCCCCCGGGCCCCCTTGGAGAGACAGCGGCGGCTCTCCCGCCGCCCGGGCCCTGGCCGCCGCTCGGGGGGGCCGCTTCCTGGGGGGCCCGCTCCGGTGGGGCCTGATGCCCGGGCCGAGGGCGCGCGGCGAGGAGCCCCCTCGGGCGACTCGGGGGCGGTCAAGGGGGGAGTGATGACTAGAGGGGGGGGTGGACAGCACGGCGCCCTCAAGGGGCCGCGGCGCCCGAGGCTTCCTCCAGAGCCGCCGGCGCTCCGAGGTTGTCGATGCAGCCTCGTTCCATTTTGTCCTCGTCCTGGCTCCGTCTTACGCGCGTTGTTGATTAGCGCCGATTGTGCGCCGATTGTGCGTCGATGTAGCGTCGATTTAGCGTCGGTCAGCGTCGATTAGCGTTGATTGGCGTCGGTTCGCATGAGCCAGCAAGATGGTATGGAAGGCTCCCATGTCGGGAGCTGGAACATCTACATTACCAGTGGCGGGCTGTTTTTCGATCCTGATGGTCGCGGCGACGTCGGGGTGGTGTGGTGTACACTTCTTTGTTCCGTTTCCTGGGGAGACAGCGAGACATGCACACACCAGGATCCCGTCTACGCCAGCCCCTGCTCTCCTCCGCGAGTTCCAGTGCGGGGCCGGAGACTGCGTCGGTGTCCGGCGCTCGGTTCCCTACCATGAGCTGCTGCAGGAGGGGTTCCACTGGAACCCCTCCTGCAGCAGCTCCTGGATGGGGGTTCGGAACACCTCCTGCTGGAACCCCTCCTGCAGGAACTCCTCCTGCAGCAACCCCTCCACTGGAACACCTCCTGGAACCCCTCCTGCAGGAGGGGTTCCACTGGAACCGTTCCAGGATGCCGCGAGCAGCCGGGGGCGCCTTGGGCCCGGGGCACCTTCCGCCGCCCCTGACGCGAGGCCCCCCCCAGAGGGCGAGGCCCCTGACGCGAGGCCCCCGAGGCTCCCTACCAGTTGCTGCAGGAGGGGCTCCAGGATGCCGCGAGCAGCCGGGGGCACCTTGGGCCCGGGGCACCTTCCGCCGCCCCTGACGGGAGGCCCCCCAGAAGAAAAAAACATACAAAAGCACACACGTTTTTTTTATTTTTTCTTTTTTTCTTTTCTTTTCTCTCCCCCCACGGTGTGTGTGTGTGTGTGTGTGTGTGTTTTTTGTTGTTGTGTGTGTGTGTGTGTGTGTGTGTGTGTGTGTGTTTTTGTGTTTTTCCTGCCGCCCCTGACGGGAGGCTCCCCCAGAGGGCGAGGGACGCCAGGGGGGGACCGCCGCTGCCTCGGCGGTTCCGAGTCGGGGGTCGGCTGCAGAACTCGAGGGGCCGAGCTCTGTGCACCGGCGCTCCTCGGGCCCCGCGCGGAAGCTGTGGGGGAAAAAACACACACAACAAAACACACAACAGTGGAGGAAAAAGCACACACACACACAGGGGAACAAAAACACACACACACACAGGGGGAAAAAAGACAACAACACACACACACACACCCATGGGGAAAACAAGCACCGTTTTTTTCTTTTCTTTTTTTCCTTCCCCCCCTCGAACAGGAAAGCGGATCCTGGTGTATACGGGATCCTGGTGCATACGGGATCCTGGTGTACACATTTTTCGTTGTTCCCCCGGGAGAGCGGGGGGAAGAAGTGCACGCCACACCACCCCGACGTCGTCCTCGACGCTCAAGAGTCCTGGGAGTGGAGAACAGCCTGCCACTGGTAATGCACACGTTCCAGTTTTCGAGCATTCCTTTACGCCAGAATTGATCTTCTCGTCGAACCCATGAGACAAGTACGTAGAATAGTCCGTAGCTCTGCGGAGCATTCTGCGTATGTTTCGTAGATTCGACGGGAAATCAACTTTGGGGTACATCGATTTTGTAGACGTTCCCTTATTTGAGCGGTCCCCGAGTTCCGACGCCAAGAAGAAAACTGCAGCATCGAGGCAAAACTCGGCAGGAGCCCCGCACTCGGCCGCGCGCAGAGGGGGGTTATGGGGGAGGGGGGAAGGCTTCTCAGAATGCGGGCAGTACTGATATCCATATCCAGACCGTCGTGGACTTTTTGGGAAGAGGTGCCGCCACGCCGAGGCGCACCGGATATGGATAAAATCAAGCCTCTTGGGGCCAGATTTTTATTCACATCCAGTGCGTAGAGGGTTTCTGGGGAAGAGAGCCCAAGAATCCAAGACGCACTGGATGTGGATATAACTATTGCCCGCACAGAAGCACCCCTGCTTCTCAGAAGGCGCGGGCCTCGTCTGTGGATGTATGGCCGGCGCCTTCTAAGAAGCCGCCTCCTTCTCCAAGAAGCCTTCCCCCCTCCCCCGACCCCCTTGTGCACGTCGCCAACCATTGGTTGGAGCCAGGCGTTCCCTGGCGTTTCCGTCGGTTCTCGGCGGGGTTTGGCCTCGGGATGCGTTTCAGCAGCTGCGCCTCGTCGAGGGCGTTCCTGGAGTGCCTGGATCGTTCCGAACGGCCGCCGAAGGCCCGAGTCAAGGCTCGAAAAGCTCCTATTCCCTACCCTCCTGGTGCGTGCCGCCAATGGACCCCATCTTTCTGCGGCTTTTTGCGAGCCGGGTCGATTCGTGAGGGCACGGGACCCGAATCGGGGCAGAGTCGCCCGCTGCGAAACGAATGTGTCGCCAGGGTCTCCGGGTTTGCCCTCCTCCGGCAATCTTTCCCCCACTGCTACGACTGGCTGATGTACGCCACGGTCGAGATCCCAAGGTTCAAGACGAAACAAAAACATAATCATGAGCTTTCGGAGCTACGAGAGTTTACGTTTGTGCCGCCTTCCCTTCCTCGACCTCCCCCTTCCTCCTCTTCCTCCTCCTTCCTTCACTGCCTCCTCCTCCTCCTCCTCCTCCTCCTCGACCTGGCGTCGTCCTGGAGACTCGCGGAGGCCAGGTCCGTCTTCTTCAGCTCCCCAGAGGTGGGGCACCCGCTCCGTACGGGCGGCGCTGGTGATGCGGGTGATCCTGCCCCTGCTGCTGCGCTTCTCGTGCCCGAAGACGGCGCTGTCCCTGCGGGAGGTGGGGGCGCGGGTCAAGAACTTCGACCAAGAGATCCCGTGGAGCACCGTGTGGGAGTCCAGGGGAGGGAAAGGCACCGGTAGTGCTGCCCCTCCCTCGCTGTGGCCTTTCTGGAGCATCCCGGGGGCCCCTCGCCGCCACGGCTGGATCCTCCTCGAAACTCTGGTCGGAAGGTTCCCCGGGAGAGGTCCGTGGAGAAGCGGTATCGTTTTTGTTGTTTTTGTTTTTGTTGTTGTTTTTGTTTTTGTTTTTGTTGTTGTTGTTGTTGTTGTTGTTGTTGTTGTTGTTGTTGTTGTTGTTGAACTCTCATTTCTGAAGAATAGTTATTGCTGATCCCTTCACCGGTGCATATTGTTTTTCTTATTCAAAGTGTGCCCCTTGACGCTCGTACCTGCTTTTTTGACAAGGAAAGTCTTGATGCTCAAACTGGGCCCCTGGCCCCCGGGTTACAACATCAACGGCTCCCGTCTGAGACTTCCTCACAATTTAGCCAGGACCCCCGCTCCTGCCCGAGACTTTCTCGCATTTTATTCAGGAATCGCGCTCTCGCTTGGGACTTCCTTGCATCTATTCAGGAATCGCTCTCCCGGCGTTCTGGAGTCGCTCTCTCGCTGGAGACTTGCTTGCAATCTACTGAAGAACAGCGCCCTTGCGTTGGAATTTCTTGCAATTTGCTCAAGCGGCGCGCTCCCGACACCCAGGCACCCAGGAGTCGCGCCCGCTGTGGCCCCATGTGCATGCCCTTCGTGGCCCCGCTGTCGCCTTTTGTGGCCCTCTCACTGTCCTACGTGGCCCAGTTGCTACCCTCAGTGGCCCCATCGTTGCCTTCTGTGGCCCCGCATTACCTGTCCTTCGTGGCCCCCGCTCGTTCGCGCTCTTCGTGGCCCCATACGCATTCCCTTCGTGTCCCCGCTGTCGCCCTTCGTGTCCTACTTCGTGTCCTTCGTGGCCCTGCTGTCGTTCTCTCTCGCTCTCGGTTTCGCTCGTCGTCGCCGTCGTCGTCGTCGTCGCCGTCGTCGTCGCCGTCGTCGTCGACGTCGTCGTGGTCGGTCCCCTGTCCGTCCCTCTTGGGGTCGGGTCGACGGTCCGCGGCCGCCCCGCCGATCAGCGCTGCCGCTGGCCAGGCCGACGGTCCGCGGCCGCCCCGCCGCTTGCCGGGGCCCGGCCTGCAGGGAAGAAAGGTATACCCCCAAAAAGGGCTCGATCGAAGACGAACCGGGCGGGTATCGAGGGTTTGGGAAATACGCGTTATTGGACACTCGAACGGATAGGGGCGAACAGGCTCAAAATGATTGTTGTTGTTGTTGTTGTTGTTGCTGTTGCTGTTGCTGTTGTTGATGTTGATGTTGTTGTTGTTGTTGTTGTTGTTGTTGTTGTTGTTGTTGTTGTTGTTGTTGTTGTTGTTGATTGACACGTGACCTTGTTGCCCGGGGACCCCCCCCCCAGCAATCAGCAACCAGTAGCCGAAAGTTCATTTCAGCACACCCCTCTCGAGGATCGTGGCCTTTGCCTCACAGAGAACTCCACCGAAGGTTCGTTCCGGCACACCCCTTGAGGATTCTATAGGATGCTAGAGGATAGCATCGGATTCCCAATCGGATCCTATAGGTCTCGGATAGGATCCTATGGAGATGCCATGGGATCTTATAGTTATCCTATAATGATGGTGTAGAATCGTATAGGGATGCCATAGGATCATTTACGGATCCTATAGGGTCCCATGGTGATCTTATTGGAATCGTATAGGATCCTAGAGCGATCCTAAAAGACCCTAGGGATCTTATAAGGTCATTGTCGGCTACTAAAGGCGTCCTATATAATCGTTATACGATTTCCATAGGATCCTAACTAGGATCCCATGGGATTCCGATACAATCCCTATACGATTCCCATAGGATCCTATAGGACCGCATGAGGTTCCTATGCAATCCTCATTCGATTCCTATCGGACTGTATACGATGACTGTAGGATGCTATCGGATCGCATGGGATTTCTGTACAATCCCTATACGATTCCCATAGGATCTTAGTACAGGATCCTATAGGATCGCATGGGATTCCTGTAGGAACCGTATAGGATCGCATGGGGTTCCAAGAGGATCCCCATAGGATCCCCGTAGCATCTCGTAGGATCGCACGGGATTCTCATACAATCCCTACCGGATTCCTTTAGGATCCTATCGGATCGCATGGGTTTCCTATACAATTTCTATAGGATTCCTCCAGGGTTTTTATAGGATCGCATGGGCTTCTTATACAATCCCCATCGGATTCCTATAGGATCCTACAGGGCCGCATGGCATCCCAACAGGCTCCTTTTAGGATGTTTTAGGATCCTTGAGGATCCCTATAGGATCCTTGTAGGATCCATGCATGATTCCAATCGGATCTTCTAGGATCGCTTGGGATTTCTGTTCAATCCGTATGGGACCCCTATAGGACCCAATAGGATCGCATGGGAATCCTATACGATCATATCGGATTCTTTCATGATCCTAGAGGGTCGCATGGGATTCCTGTAGAATCCCCATGAGATTCCTATCGGATCTCATAGGATCGCAAGGGACCCCTCTAAGATCCGTATATGATCCTTTGAGGACACTTTATGATTGTTTGTGATTCCTTTACATTTCTTTTTACGACTCCCCATTGGATCCCTATAGGATCACATGGTGTTCCTATACAATCCTCATACGATCCCTAGAAAATCCTATAGTGGGAGTCCTGTAGGATCCTTATAGGGCCGCATGGGATTCATATAGGACCCCTATAGGATGTTCATCCGATCCAATAGGATCGCACGGGAGTCTTACACAAACCCTACAGGATTCCTGTAGGTCGGATCGCATGCGATTCCTATACAATCCCTATGGTATTCCTATTGGAATCCTGTAGGATCGCAGGGCATTCCTTTACAATTCCGATCGGATTCCTATGTGATATTGCATGGCCGCATGGGATTCCTATAGAATCCCCACAGGATCCTATCTGATCCCTATAGGATCGTATAGGCTCGCAAGGGATTCTTATACAATCCGTATAGGATTCCTATAGGATCCCATAGGATCCTATAGGATCATATGGGCTTCCTATACAATCCCCATATGATCCCTATATGATCCCATAGGATCGCATGGGTTTCCTAGATCCTGCAGGGTCGCATGGGATTCCCATGCGATGCCTTTACGATTCCTATGGGGTCCTTATAGGATCGCATGGGATCCCTATAGGATCTGTAGAGGATCCCTATAGGATCCTAGAGGATTGCATGGGCTATTTAGACAATTTCTTTACGATTTCCATTGGATCCCTATAGGATCGCATGGGATTCCTATACTTGAGTATCCTTATGCGATCCCCACAGGATCGCATCGGATCCCTGTACGATTCCTATAGGATCCTGTATGGCCTCATGGGGTTTGTTTACAACCTTATAGGGTTCCTGGAGGATTTCAGAGGATCGCATGGGATTCTTTCTTACAATCCGCACAGGATGCCTTACAATCCCTATCGGATTCCGATAGGACCCTATAGGATCGCATGGGTTTCCTGTACAATCCTTACAAGAATCCTACAGGATCCCATCGGATCGCATGGGATTCCCATACAACCCGACAGGATTCCTAGAGGATCCCATCGGTTCGCATGGGATTCGTTTTTAAATCCTTATACGATTCCTATCGGATCCGATAGGATCGCATGGGATTCCCATACAATCCTTATACGATTCTTTCAGGATCCGTATAGGGCCGCATGGAATTCTTATACAACCCTATGGGTTTCCTATAGGATCCTCCAGGATCGCATGGGGTCCCTACAGAATCCCCAGAGGGTGCTTTTAGGATTTTATAGGATCGCATAGGATCCTCATAGGATCCCTATAGGACCCCTACAGGATACTTTATGTTTTTTGGATCATGTAGGAGCCGATATATTCCGGAGCTTCGCTGGTGCAGACATGGGACCATTGCAGGAAGGAAAAGTTCACACCCTTAAGCAAACGAAGTTACAGTGGAGCCAAGAATGGAGCCCGAGGTTGTTGGTTGCTGCTTGCTGGCGGGGTGGGGGGTTTGCTTACCCCCGGGCAGCAAGGTCACGGGTTGTCCTTTAAGGACAAGCATTGACCAAGTTTCCCGGTGAACGGGCAACGAGGTCTCATGTCAACCTTGTTGTTGTTGTTGTTGCTGCTGTTGCTGCTCCTGCTGCTGTTGTCGTCCTCGTCGTCGTCGTCGTCGTCATCGCCGCCGTTGTTGTTGTTGTTGTTGTTGTTGTTGTTGTTGTTGTTGTTGTTGTTGTTGTTGTTGTTCTTGTTCTTGTTCTTGTTCTTGTTCTTTCACTTTTGAATAATAATTGTTGGTGATCCCCACTCATCGGTGCAGATTGTTTTTCTCAGTCAAAGTGTGCCCCTCGACGCTCGTACCCTGTTTTTTGACAGGGAAATTCTTCCTGGTCAAACTGTGCCCCTGGCCCCCTGGACTACAACGACAACGGCTCCCGCCTGAGACCCCTCCAAATTTACTCAGGACCCCCACTCCCGTCTGAGACTTCCTCCCAGTTTACTCAGGAACGGCGCTCCCGCTTGAGACTTCCTCACAATTCAATCCGGGTCAAATTGCGTTGTTGCTTCCCTGGATTACAACAGCAACGGCTCCCGCTTCAGATTCCCTCCAACTTTACTCAGGACCCCCGCTCCCGCCTGAGACATCCTCCCAATTTAGTCAGGATCGGCGCTCCCGCCTGTGACTTCCTCGCAATTTAGTCAGGACCCCCCCTCCCGTCTGAGGCTTCCTCACAATTTACTCCAGAACGGCGCTCCCGCTGAAGATTTCCTTGCGCCTTAGTTTAGACCCCCGCTCCCGCCAGACATCCTCTTTTCAGGAATTGCGTTCTCGGTTGTGACTTTTTCGCAGTTTATTCAGACATCGCGCTATCGACGCTCAGGCACCACGCTCGCGCCAAGGACGCCGTCACACTTTACTTAGGAATCGCGCTCTCGCCCTACTCAGGCATCCCAGTTGAATGTCCCACCCGCCCGACCCGCCCGTCAGAGGATCGC